ATGGCTTTACTGTTCTTGAGAAGAAGATTTTTAAAGATTTTTCCTATATATTTCTATGTAAAATTTGGATCCTCCATTGTGGCCCCGCCCTACCCCCGGGGGTCATGATTTGAACAAACTTGAATCTACACTTCCTGAGGATGCTTCCATATAAATATGACTCTTCATGGCTTTACTGTTCTTTAGAAGAAGATTTTTAAAGATTTTTCCTATATATTTCTATGTAAAATTTTGATCCTCCATTGTGGCCCCGCCCTACCCCCGGGGGTCATGATTTGAACAAATTTGAATCTACACTTCCTGAGGATGCATCCATATAAATATGGCTAATCATGGCTTTACTGTTCTTGAGAAGAAGATTTTTAAAGATTTTTCCTATATATTTCTATGTAAAACTTTGATCCTCCATTGTGACCCCGCCCTACCCCCGGGGGTCATGATTTGAACAAACTTGAATCTACACTTCTTGAGGATGCATCCATATAAATATGACTCTTCATGGCTTTACTGTTCTTGAGAAGAAGATTTTTAAAGATTTTTCCTATATATTTCTATGTAAAACTTTGATCCTCCATTGTGGCCCCGCCCTACCCCCGGGGGTCATGATTTGAACAAACTTGAATCTACACTACCTGGGGATGTTTCCATATGAGTTTCATCTTTCCTGGCCCTGTGGTTCTTGAGAAGAAGATTTTTTAAAGATGCTATTCATTTTTCACTAATTCTTAATTATTTCCCCTTGAAAGAGGGTGTGGCCCTTCATTTGAACAAACTTGAATCCCCTTCACCCAAGGATGCTTTGTGGCAAGTTTGGTTGAAATTGGCCCAGTGGTTCTGGAGAAGAAGTCGAAAATGTGAAAAGTTTACAGACAGACGGACAGACGGACTACAGACAAAATGTGATCAGAAAAGCTCACTTGAGCTTTCAGCTCAGGTGAGCTAAAAAGGGGGGGGTGTACAATGGCTATAGTAGGATGATCTCCAGAGTTAATTACAATAAAATAGGTGTCCAGTGTGTTGGGAGATAATTGTCGAACATTTTCTCACCTGGAATCACAATAGTATGGCTATGGTGAAAATATGGGCGGATCTTGGATCTCTACTTTGAATTTACGCGCCTAACAACTCGGCAAATTATCTGATGACATAATGCGATCGCCCCCTATATATAACCTTCGGAAAAGGGTCACATGACAAGTTTCAACCAATACAAATGCTGTACGGCGACGTTCCACCAATCACGACAATGTACGACATCGTACAAAATAAAAATCGTGTCGTACTGTCAAACAAAGTTGTCGTACAATATGGATTATAAACAAACCCAGGAATTAAGTTGTGAAAAGACAAAATAATCAATAAATATGGATGACAAAAGATGTGTCTATAATAAGTAAGTAAACAATTTATCTCTGAAACTTCACAGAAGTAAACTTGCTGAGTATGCAGACGATATCGCGGATGGATAAAAATATTTTGCAAGTTTTAGACACATGTAATCGGGAATAACAATTACTAAAATGAATATTAGAAATCACAATAATAATTAACATAATTAATAGCAAGTAATTATGCCAGTAATGTAACATGAATAACATGAGGTTAAATACGAAACTAATCTACTTAACATGCACCGATAAAGATGGCAGACAGGATGTAAACAAGTTGCATGGCAGCAGATGATTTAAAGTGTTGCAGCTAATCTACACATGTAGAATTAATAAGATAATGACAGTTGACTCAAGAAATACATGCAGATTTAAGATGAAAGGTAACTAATTCATGGTATTTAAAAATAAATGCAAACTTTAACATTCCTGACCAATTCTGGCACAACGTTTTGACACAGATGAAATAATATTACAAGTAAAGTCCACCTTACACAGTAAACCATAGTAAAATTTTAGACATCTGACAGGTCCTTACAGAATTTTATGTTTTAGAACAGTTTCACTGGTAAATCCCGGAAAGCTAAAAGTAGTTATTTATGTATCACTTTGTTTCAATTACACTGCACTTGTATATATATTTAACTTTACTTGTATTGCGTTCAATATATGTTGTACATGTATACACTTGATCCACAAGTACCGTACCTAATAATTCACCTGAATTGGATATGGGGTTATATTTTTTTAAAATAGGAAAATATGTAAAATCAAGGTTTTTGACTAGATCTACTTTAAAAATCACTAGCATAAATTTTGTGAGTTCTATAAATGTATTTTTTTTTCGAAGGGTCGTTGTAGAATCTGTTCAGTATTGTCTCTATTTTAACGATATTCTGCAAAAAACGAAAACAATAATCATACCTTTACCTACGTACATTGTTTGTGACGTCACAGTTACGTTGCATCATAGAATCAACGTAATAGAAAACTGTCATGGCACAGTACGTAATTTGAACTGAAAATCTGTGCGGCAGCAAAAGGGTTAACCTTCGCTATAAGTTGCCATACGGAGGCATCAGTGTTTCACAAACACATCTTGTTTTTTGTTGTTTTTTTTTTTTTAAGATATAGTCTCATAACTGCAACGGTGTTTGCAAACAAATTGAGTAACGCGCGTTACTCAAATTGAGTAACATCGCCTTATATTTCAAAATCCCTGGATTATTCTTCGGGTAAGTTACAATTAACGGAAGAGCCGTTGCAACAGCTTCTGTTCAATGTGAGCTTGAATTTTGATGTTCGCTTATGACGTTGCATTTCCACGGCGCCCAACGTTTGTGACGTAGAAATACATGTGGAATGTCAATATGTAGAAATGTCAATGAGTCATGTGGGCTAGATCACACAGATTTTAAGAGTATAAATATCTTGTCCGGTCCATAGTTTGATAAAAATTATTCTCTCTACTGGCATAAATGTTGACGGCTGTCATGACCCTAAGCAAGATGATTTAGATAAAAAAATGTCAAATTTGATCCCTTTCAACTTCATTGTTGGATAGCATTTGTGTTTCAGAAAAAAAAACATCGTAATTCAAAATAATGATTGGGTAGTAAACCCCAAAATGTTTAAAATATATACATTGTACATTCTGTCAATTTTCACAAGAACTTATCACTATCTCTCTTCTTCCAGAGAATTAGAAAAAAGTAACAAAACTAAAACAATTCAAGATTTAATTTATTTTTGTAAAATATGAAGCAGCCTACTAAAACAAAAAGTTATAAAAACAAGTTAAATAACCAAAACAGTTTGCAAAATATATTATAAAATATAAATATTTGTTCAGGAAACCTGATGAGAAAAATAAGTTTAAACAAGAGGGCCATGGGCCACATTGCTCATCTGAGTTACTATGACCATCAGCAGATTTTAACTTATAAATTCCTACGTAAAACTTGGATCAAATATTGTGACCCCAACCTACCCCCCAGGGATCTTGAATTGAACAAATTTGAATTTACACTATCCCAGTATGCTTCCATAAAAATATGACTAATCGTGGCTTTGTTGCTCTTTAGTAGAAGTAAAAAGAAATCCTATATATATAGTCCTATGTAAAACTTTGATCGCCCATTGTGGCCCCATCCTACCCCGAGGGTCATGACTTTAACATTTTCTTTTCTTGAGAGGAAAGTTTTTTAAAAAGTTGTTTTCCTTTACATTCCTGTGTAAAAGTTAGATGGCCCATTGAAGCCCTACTCTACCAATTGGGGTCATGAACACATGAACAGATTTGAACAAACTTGAATGTACACTACTTGTGGATGGTGTCAAATAAATAAAACAAATCATGGTTTTGCTGTTCTTGAGAAGAATTAAGATTCTCTGAAGAATTTTTCCTAAAGATTCCTATGAATTTCAAATATCTATTATGACCCTGTCCTAGCCACGGGGGTCATGATTTGATAAACTTGAATCTACATTATGTAATAAAGCTTTCACATAAGATTAATCTTTTCTATCCCAGTAATTATTGGCAAGAAGATTTTTAAAAGATACAATTAAAATTTCACTAATTCTTGATCCCCCCCCCCCCCCGAAAGAGATCGTGCCCCTTCATTTAAAATTAAATCAACTTTACCCAAGCATGCTTTTTGGCAAGCTGGTTCAAATCGGCCCAGAGGTTCTTGACAAGAAGTCGAAAATGTGAAAAGTTTACAGACGACAGAAGAACGCCGGACCCCCTTTGATCAGAAAAGCTCACTAGAGCCTTCAGCTCAGGTGATCTAAAAAGAAAAAACTTTTATCTTCTATAATTGGGTTACAGTTACTTTAGTTAATCAAAGACTGCTGTTGAAAGTCGTTTGTCTTTTTACTCGCTGAAGCCAGTAACGAAGTGAAAGTTTACATTTGTCGCTTACGTGAGCTTTTAAATGTAATTAAATTGTATTGAAGGGCAGTATTGACGACATATTTTTTAAAATCAAAACTACCAAAGTTGTGGAAATTACTAGTATATACTTAAAGCTCCAATATTTGCCAAATTCTTTCTTTCTGTGGATCTATCTGATAAACTGAATGACTTATTCATATGAGCTGTTTAAACCTCCTACCCAAATTATGAAAAACAGGCTCATTTACAATAGTGAATGGGATTGTTAAAAACTTTTTTTCTCCTCTTTGATACTGTGGGTCTTGCAGACACGGTATTTATATGCTTATACTGATCAAGGAGTCCTCTTAAGTAATGAGCTTTATATTTGCCTATTGCGTTTAACTCTTCTTTTCAAGGCCTGCAGGATTTCGGAATCCCATCAAAGCTGTCCAATCAATAATGTTTTTTTTAAGTAGTAACAGTATTTCAAAAAATAATATAATAAATATTAGCCAGCAGACCATCTTTATAAATAAACATCGGTAAAAGGAACTGTTGCTTGATAATCATAAAACCCATACAGAGATTAGCAATGATAACTAAATAATCTTTGTTTAATAGATGTCTAGGGTATAAAATTCTCTTTATAAATTCTTCAACATTATTTTTTTAAACTTCTCATTCTACTTGTCATTACAGAAACAAACAGAAAATATAACATCTTCAAAGAATAACTTTTATAGACTTTGTCTTTTTTAGAAATGCTCAATATATCCTTCTTTACGGAAACTAACAGAAACACAGAGCAGCTTGAATCTACTTCTTCAGTTACTGTTTGTCAGTGTCTTATCAACATTATAATGTTACTTACATTATCCACGCTTAAATTCAATAAGCTCTTAAAGAAAGAAACAATTTTATAAATCACATAATTTATGAAATAATACAACAGTCATCTATAGCTTTTAATTCCCCATCCCGCGGAGACAAGCCCTCAGCCGCCCTATTTCTCACTATTTCCATTGCTTCACCTTCTGGTATTTCTGGATTTTCTTTCATGTAATCTTTTTTATCTTTTTCAAGAATTTTGGTTGCTTTGTCATAGTACTTATGTGTGTAATGTTCTTTTCCCCGTCTAGAATTTTCCTTGATTAGATTTGTAAGCATATCGTCAAACTTTAGAACACATTCAGAAGGTATTTTCTTTTTGCTGTCTCCAAATATGACATGTCTACCACTGCATTTTACGTTCAATTCAACAACTTCTTTGGCTTCTGACATCATTTCCGTTAGCTGACTTTCGTCATTTTCTAGCTTTGAAATAACAAGGATCATATACTTAAATGCACTTTCTTCTAATAATTTATCCAGAAGTTCCAGCATTTTCATATCTTCCGCTGTTATCCGCTCCGCTGCGGACAAAACCAAAACAATGGCGTGGAATCCTGGAGACGTGCAAAACAAACATCGTCTGATATCTGATTCTACATCTATTCCCGCATCTTTGGGTGAACTCATTCCTGGTGTATCATATATTCGATACAGAAAGCCATTTCTGATCCCTACACCATATTCACACCTCCTTGTGACAGATGACCAACATCTTTTACTGACAAAATGCTGTTTTCCTAATAATCCGTTTCCGGTATGACTTTTACCTGCTCCTATTTTTCCAATAAGAATGACTCGTCTTTCTTCCGGTCCAAGCTTACTGTTCTTTCCTCTATCTTGAGAAAATACTGCCACTTGTGCTGCAGACCTCTCTAGAATACAGACGGAATTATTTTAAAAAAAATACTTTCCTGATTACTTCCTTACTTTAATATTTTCCCTGACAAATCTGAGTAAATCAAAACAACTAAAATCAAGTCAACATCATCTTATACTATGAGTTTTTATTCGTATTGGAAAAGAAATTGGTTTACTTGCAATTGCTGATACTTTTTAGCTCACCTGAGCCAAAGGCTCAAGTGACCTGAGCCAAAGGCTCAAGTGAGCTTTTCTGATCAAAGAGTGTACGGCGTCTGTCGTCTGTAGTAGTCCGTAAACTTTCCACATTTTCGACCTCTCAAGAACCACTGGGCCAATTTTAACCAAACTTGCCACAAAGCATCCTTGGGTGAAGGGGATTAGAGTTTGTTCATGGGAAGTGCCACGCTCTCTTTCAAGGGGAGATAATTAAGAATTCCTGAAAATTTGGTGGCATCATTTAAAAATTTTCTTCTCAAGAACCAGTGGTCAAGAAATGGTGAAACTTATGTGAAAGCTTCATTACATACTCGAGATTCAAGTTTGTTCATATCCTGGCCCCCGGGGATAGGACATGGCCGCAAGAGGGGGTCGAAGTTTTACATAGGAATATATAGGAAATGTCTTTGAAAATCCTCTTCTCTAGAACAGCAAAGCCATGTTTAGTCATATTAAAATAGAAGTAACCTCAGGTAGTGTAGATTCAAGTTTGTTCCAATCATGATCCTTGGGGGTAGGGCAGGGCCACAACAGGGGGTTAAAGTTTTACATAGTTTTATATATGTGTAATGGTTAAGGGGAATTTGAGTAAAGCGCATTGAAGACCTCATATAATGCAATGACCTGACAACCCTTTCAGTGGACTAGCCAAACTAAAGGGTATATAAGGCAAAGCTTTGGGAAAGTCAGGCTAAAAGCTAGCAGAAGAAATTAAATGCTGAATCAGCAGTAAAGAAGTTAAGGTATTCCATCCCTAATAGCAACAGATTCAATGAAATTGAATACATAACAGATGTGAAGGTGTTTAATACTCAGTACATGTATATATTTAGACATAATTCCCATTTATTATTATCAGCATGTAAGGATGGGATGTGTCCTAATTTATGACCTTGAATTTTAATAAGGGTTATCTCCCTCTGTTTCTAATCAATAAAAAAAGCAATTTTAAAAAACTTATCTGGTATAAAAAAAAATCGTTTTCAATTGTCATTCTATTTCTATTGTTTTAATGCATCTTTCCACCACAGTATTCATTGATATTATTATATTATTATTTGAATTATCATTAAAAAAATCACTTGTCCTCATCGACTTCAATGCAATCTTTGTTAATTATTTCTCTTGGTAAATCCTTTTCTACTGTGAAATGTTTGTACATAGGAAATATCTTTAAAATCTTCTTCTCAATAACAACTAAGCCATTATTAGTCATATTAGTCATACAGAAGCAACCTTAGGTATTGTAGAATCAAGTTTGTTCAAATCAAAATCTTATGCTCAAGAACAGCAAAGCCATCATTAGTCATATTATTATAGAAGCATCCTCAGGTGGTGTAGATTCTAATTTGTTCAAATTAAGGGTGTGTATGATGGGGCTATAATGAGAGATCAGAGTTTTACATAGGAAAACATAGGATTGATTGATTGTATGTTGTTTTACGTCCTGTTCGAGAATTTTTCACTCATAGAGACTTCACCATATACCGGTGAAGGGCTTCAAATTTAGACCTTTACTCGGCACTCTGACAGGGTCATTGAGCAGTGAGGACCTACGCCTGCTGTGACGTGGGGCCTCGGTTATTAAGGTCTCATCCGAAGGACCCGCAACTTTCACTTCAAAGTGTCGAGCGCTTGATGAAGGAACAGTTGCTACCTATTTTTTGTCGACTTAGGTCAGTCACGGCCGGGGCTCGAACCCACGACCTTCCCTCTGAAGAGCTCTACAGAATGAGCTACCGTGACGGTGGAATACATAGGAAAAAAATCTTTAAAATTCTTCTGTTTAAGAACAGCAAAGCCATGATTAGTAATATTGATATAGAAGCATCCTGAGGTAGTGTAAATTAAAGTTTCTCCCTCCTCCCCCGTTCAATACTGAACTGATTTCTACTTCTTCCTAGCCGATGAGCTCAGGTAAGCGATGTGGCCCATGGGCCTCTTGTGTATTGTAATCCAGTCATTTGTGGTCTGATTCTTATAAAAGAATACTCCGTTTTCACTGTTAATTGTTGAAACCTAGTTTTTATGAATATAGCGAGGTGAGACTAGTTCTTGATTTTTAGAACACTAAACTTTAGAGCAGAAGGTTCATTGTAACATAAAACTCAAAGATCTTTTTTTTTTCTTTTTTTTTTTAAATTGAACAATGCTGTATTTAAAAAAAGGTGTAAGAACTACTATTTTCTATGATTTATGGCAAAAATGAAAAACGATTTATTACTATTAAAAATAAAATGTACTTTCTTTTATTACATTTTTAACAGTGAAATACTGTGATTTATTTATTGAATAAAAATGATATTCTCTCAGTGTGAAAGGATACTAAAGTGATACTCTCTCACAGTGTGAAAGAATATCAATGTAAGTAAAAAAATAATTTTTGGCCTATCATAAGATAGAGTAAATAAACCATCTTGATAGAGACTAAAACTGCCAATTTCTTCCCAAATATGTTGCTAAATCCATATTATATAATGTTTTCAATCACACAACTGCTAAGCTATGGCGTCTCAACTGCTCAACTATGATGTCACAGACTATGACACTGTGTTAAGAAAAGACAGAGGCCAAGAGAAAATCAAAGAAAATGTAATAAACAGAAAATTCAATGTTTTGTAGTTGGATATGGCATTTATTTCACTTGGGACACAGGATTTTTTGATATTTGAGAATCAAAAAATCCTGTCCCACTCGTGAAATAAATGCCATATCCCACTACAAAACATTGAATATCCTCTATATATCACTTAAAAGGTGTAAAAGTCATTTCTAAGCTTATTTTCTCAAACATTTTATCACTTGACATCATTTACACATGTAACAAATACGACATTTTATGTAAGGAGCATTGCATGAAATATATTTGATGCAAGCATTAAATTTGGACTTCAACTTTTTGCACTGACAATATGAATACCTAGGAGCAAGACAGGCTCCCTGAAAAAAAAGTGTAAGAATAACATTGTACATTGTAAGAAAGTCAGCGCAAAATTAAATCTTCCAAATGACATATTTTATGCACAATAGTGTGCTGTTAAATATACATTTTGTATTTTTCAAAAATGATATTATCTCTCTTGGTTCTTCTTTCAGAAGTGATGCTTTAGTAAATGTTGATGAAGATTGATAAAAAATAACAAAAATAGGGGAAAATTCCTCTTAGGGAAAATTTTTGTAATTCAAAGTCAATACTGGTTTCGAACATAGAATCACATATTTAATTGATTTGTTTTTTTATTTCCAATGAAATTCAACTGTTTTGTTTTTGTTGATTATATCCAGTGAGAGTGGCCTTTCTGTATAATATCCTTAACATAGGATAGCACTATGAAGAAGAATAGTAATCCATGATGTAACTCGAATTTCCTGTTGGTTAATATGGTAGGTCTGTATTCCTATGTCAGAAGTGTTTGGAACTTTTTTTATTATTGATAGTATGAATCCCAAATACCACCTGCATACTATAGGTAATAATTCGAATTTTAGTTGGACATACTAGTCCAAAATCAACTCCTCGATAACTAATCAGGAAAATAAGGTCACATCTGAATTAAAATCACGATTAAAAGTATGCATCCTTATTGTCAACATCCATGTACGTTTGTTCAATACAGGAATTATGCATAGCTTCTTCGATATAAATCTGGGTACATACCTCTATTTTCAGAATCAGTAGGGAAGAACGTATTTGAAAGTTCCTGAACTTGCAATTAGTAGAGTACTAAAACAAAACAGTTCCTGAACTTGCAATCAGTATAGAAAACAAGCATTCTGAGAGTATTGCTAATTCCTACCGGCAAGTGTAATCTGGTTCCCGTTAAGAATTGAAAATGCCATAATTCCGTCAAAAATGAATGAAGCGGAACGAAATGCAAACTTGATCTATAACTAATCAAGGTAAAGCCACATACCAAAAATCAGCTCAATATCTACAAGCGTTTAGAAGAAAATTGCGGAAAACACGTAAATATTGAAAAGGCCATAATTCCGTCAAAAATCAATGAAGTGGAACGAAATGCAAACTTGATCTGTAACTCATCAAGATACACTCACATACCAAAAATCAGCTCAATATCTGCAAGCGTTTAGGAAAAAAAAGTGCGGAAAACCAAGTGGGACAGACTGACAGACAGACAGAGGGACAGACAGACGGACGGACGGACGGACAGACTCAGAGGAAACCTATAGTCCCCTCCGGTTTCACCGGTAGGGGACTAATAAGTACATCATCTGAGCTAAAGATATATACAGTATATGAAAGAAGAGAAAAGCTATTTTCAGTTTTTTAATGTCTTTGAAAAGAAAGAAATGGCATTGTTTGACGTGTGCATAACCTTGAAATTTCCCACTTTTACTTTCATTTTCAGATCATGTGCATTTTGCCGAATAACGAATCTGACATGCCAACTCGAGGTTTTATAAAGTTTTAGGAGAGAGAATTTGAAAAGCTTTCATTTGAGGGGTGCCCCATCCTCCAATATAAAATTAGAGGGCAAGCTGTTTGAGAAAACGTTAACATTGTCGCCTGTTGGAAACGTATTAGTGGACTGTACTCATCTGCTAAAAAAATTTAACCTGATCAGCCATCAAGAAATCTAGGTCATTTGCAGCATGCAAAACCTTATTTGATAAGAAAATACTAAAATATATAACGGTTGATGTGAAAATTCGAAAAGAACCACGCCCATTGCAATTCCCCAAAAGACCTTGGAAAGAAATCAAAATTCCGAACCTTATTGCAAATTTACAGGATCAGGCCACTTTTTTAGCTTACTCTTAAAATATAGAAGTTATGACAACAAGCATTCTGAGAGTATTGCATTAGCAATACTAGTCCCCTAACGGCAAGTGTAATCTGGTTCCCGTTAAAAATTGAAAATGCCATAATTCCGTCAAAAAACAATGAAGTGGAATGAAATGCAAACTTGATCTATAACTCATCAAGGCAGAGTCACATACCAAATATCAGCTCAATATCTGCAAAAGTTTAGAAAAAATTGCGGAAAACCCTGAAAAATTGAAAAGGTCCTAATTCCATCAAAAATCATTGAAGCGGAACGAAATGCAAACTTGATCTGTAACTATCAAGATACACTGACATACCAAAAATCAGCTCAATATCTGCAAGCGTTTAGAAAAAAAGTGCGGAAAACCAAGTGGGACAGACTGACAGACAGACAGAGGGACAGCTAGACGGACAGCTAGACAGACAGACAGCAAGACGGACGGACAGACACAGAGGAAACCTATAGTCCCCTCCGGTTTCACCGTAGGGGACTAATAAAGTATGACGGACTGGGTATCAATAATATTAATATGAAATTGTAGAATGTATTTATCTACTGTTTTAAGGAACACCAACCTGATGCTCTGAAAGATTCATCCTTTTCTTTAGAGGTGGCCATCTTAATCTAAGAAAATTGAAGTTAAGAAACATAGATTTTGAAATCTTTGCTTTCTTTCAAACTGAAAGAGCAGAAAGGAAATTGATACTATTGCTCAAACAGTAAATATTAGCAAATTAGAACAAAGCATCGAACTGTGACGAAAATATATAATGTTTGTTTGGTGCATGAACATGAAAGTGCGCGTAGTGTGATAAACGAGTTTTCTGCTTCACATGACACATGTCCCTTCCAGGCATGCACCAAAAGAACTGATGCACATAATATTTAATAAGTTTGATTATTTTTCTATTAAAAAGCCTTTTACTTTCTTAGATCAAATAGAGTGTACTTACACAAGAACAGTGCTTTCTGTGTCTGAACCTTTTGGAGGTCACCACTTAGTAGCACTGTAAAGATTACAGACAGATTCCTCCGCGGCTGACTCATAATTGACTGCAGACAAGCCATATGTGAGGAGTTCTTTACCATAGTGAAAACAGTAAAACTATTGAGGTCACACTGGTTGTAGAAATGTTACAGTTCCTCCCAAAGATGGATTTTTATCGCTGAACAAAACACTATCGGTATGTAGTTGACATTTTTCCATTTTGCACAAATAAAGCGATTGTAGGCGTTGTCCTTAAAAGATGTTACAACGTTATACTGAGTTTGATGGCGACATCAATGCTATTTGTTGCCATTTCATCCCGTTAGCTCCAATATATTATATTCTTGTTAATGAAGATGGAGAATAAGGTACCATTGAGTTATTTTCATATTTCATCTATATATACATTGCAGACTATTGATTCAAAAATATTGTTTTCTTGTTTTATATACTATCATAATTCTGGGTTATTTTGGACGTAATAGTCACAATTTGTTGAGGTGTAAAATCCTGTCAGCTTATGTTTGAGGAATTGTAATGGCCCTTGGCAAGGTCATTTGAACAGAGTAAAGGACACATTTGTAATATTTAAAAAAAAAAAATGATGTGCTCGGAGGCATTCAAAACACTTTTTGAATGATGATTGGACTTTAGGCCTCAGATATTTAATATACTAATGCAAAATTACTTGACAATTTTCATATAATGAAACATTTAATTGGTATTAATAATAAAGTGCATCAAGTCCTGAGCGTCCCTGTCAATGTATACGCACACAACAATTTTTATACGACACAGTTTTCAAAATATGGTTTCTTCTTTTCGGCCGATTTAATATCTTCAATAGCTTTATAACATTAATGTTCGTACTCTCATATAAGGCGATTAGTTTTTATCATATGTCAAGGTCATCTCTGATACATGTATTACTCTACAGTAATTTCTCTGAATCATTACTTTGTGCAAACATGTTAAAATGCCCTTTCCCACATGCCTATAACTGAGTAACTCCTCCATAATTGCGGGTAAATTTCTTTTTCTAACTCTTTCTTTCTGCGTAGAAAACTGAAAACTTCAAACCAAATCAAAATCGAAATGTTCTACACCATTTTGTGCCTTGATTATGATATGACAATAGCCTCATCTCGCTTTTAAAATCGGGCATATCGAGGGTCAATTGGATGTAGAGTCGAAAAAGAAAGAGAGATTGAGGATTTTGGTGGACTATAGGTCCAGGTTAGCGTTCGAGTGGACAGCAGTGCTAATCACAATCCAGTTTTCGTTGGAAATGTACACTGAGTATATTGGCCATAGCAATTTTTTTTTTTGGCCAGGAAAATGAAATGTTTCAGAAACATACATATATAAGCCCCCATGTGGCAATGTCATTAAGGGTCAACTTAGTTTAGAATGTCTGTAATAATAGTGAAAAAATGGTTGGCCCAATAGTCAGGGAAAAAAATTACTTGAATTTTGATCTCTATCAGATCTCGATATCATTAGGCGTATTTTACTTCTTCAAGGGTACAAGTGTATCAAGTTTGATGTCTCCCAACCAAAGCGGTCAATATCTTCCCACGTCCAGTTTGACCTTTACCTTTGATCTTTTAGCCTAAAAATCAACAAGGGTCATTGACTCCTTAGGCGGAATCAAAGTCTGGTATCTGTCAAAGCGGCCAATATCTTTTTAAGTTCAGTTTCATATGTATCCTTTGACCTTTGACCTTATGACCTAAAAATCAATAAGCATTATGCACTTCCTACGGAGAATTGATGGACCAGTTTAATGTCAGTCAAGCAAAGGGTTTTCAAGAGACTGAGCAAACAATATCTTTCTTCCTCTTAAGTAGTTTTACGTTAACCTTTGGCCTTGTGAACTCGAAATCAATAGGAATCATTTACTTCTTAGAATGAACCAATGTACCAATTTTGATGTCTGTCAAGCAAAGCTAGGGTTCTCAAGAGACTTGGTGACCGACAGGTGCAAAGTAATATACCCCTTTTTTTAAGGTCTATGTAGCTGACTTACATCTAGTTTAATTCATGATCATACTAGACCAATTTCAGGAAGAAATAAATGTATCTAGACCATTTAACAAACAACAGAGGTGCTTAAAAGCTCCAGTGCCCGAATCACTGAAAAAATTCTGATCAACCCTTCATAACTTACTAGTATGCTTTTAATTTTTACAGATTCAGATCTAGAGATGGAGATGGCGGAATTAAATCACAAGCCACAACCGGAAGTCAAGGTCTCACGAGTTCTTGTCGTCGGAGGCATAGGGCATGGGAAAAGCTCCTTCATTAACAGTATGTTGGGAGAGGACAAGTGTACTGTGGGAAATACTTGGGGAGTTGACAAGACAATAACCAAAGAAGTACAAGAATATGATTGTAAACGAAAAGATGACGTAATAACCTTCATAGACACGCCGTCATTAAGTACACTAACGTCAAATAGTAAATTCAAGGACCTTTTCAAAACTGGATTTCATGCTGTTGTTATTGTCTTTTCAATAAAATCAGTCACACAACCTCGAACGTCTGTGTTAGAACAAGTAAAGACCTTGTTTGGAGGCGAAATATTTCGGTATGCTCTTGTTGTTTTAACGTTTGGAGACTATTTGGGAGATTCAACAGTTGAAGAATTCTCAAATGCTAATAGTGAATTAAAAGATTTCTTGGAAAAAATGGGTGACAAGCCTGTTGTAATAAGTAACATACTTGAAAAGGACAGTGCAGAAGCTAATGACCAGAAAACGCGGTTTTTTGTTTACTTGGAATCTGTACTTAGAAGAAATGAAGACACACTGAGAGAGAACGGATTTTGTTCGCGTTTATGTTCGTGTTGCAGAAGGTGTTGTTCTTGGTGTGCAAAACTCATTTACGACATGGACGGCTAAATTCAACCAAAAACTAATACATGTATATAAAAAAAAACAAATACAGATCCAGTTGGTAACTCCAAAATCGCAACAACAAAAAATCTGTCTTGATATCTCGTGTCATCTTCAAAACAGGAACTTTGAAATAATTTTTTTTTTTATATAAAATATTATTTAAAATAAAAATGCCTGTAAATTTATGATTTTTTCCTCTTTAAAATACTATAGTACTACAATATCAAAATATTTGCCATTTAGGCATTTTTATAAAGTACTTTTAGAAAATTTAAATATTCTCCAGTATCACGAAAAATACATTCTACATGCATGACGACAAGATGCAATTGAAGTGAACATATGAAGATATAAATCCCTCCCATATCTTTTCAAAAAACTTATTATTTGTATAACAATAATTCAAAGTCTAAAAGGTTATATAAAGAAGTAAGAATGATCTATGTTTCAACTTAGTAATATTCTTTTTAACAACATCGGGTATAAAGGTCTCAAAAAATATGATATTAACAAGACCGTACACGGATATCATAAAAAGGTCATGATATTACAAGGTGGTCGAAATGCGGGTGGGTGATTGGAGCGTTGGGTGCGATCCACTCCTTCAAAAAAAGACTCAAATACACAATCTTTGAAACAAAAAAAAAATCATTACTTGTTGATTAAATATTTGAAAGAATGACTTGAGAATGCACCAGGACCCGACCAAAGGTGCCCACTAGTTAAAAAAAAAAGATATGTTTGTGAATCACTGATGCACCCGTATGGCAGCTTATGGCGAAAGTTAGTTTCTCAAATGCAAACCAAACTCCAGGTTCAAGAGATTAAAAATGTTGGTATTAAAGGAAAGGTTTAGTCAAAAGGAATATACCCGTGAACTATGAGAGCCCTTGTAGCAACCATTCAAAGAGTATGGTCAAAGTTAAGGTTTTAAAAAGTAGGTGAAACTCCAAGGCGAAATTCTTGGTACAAAAAAAAGTTCCTGTCACATTGAAAACACACGTGAAATAAGAAAGCCCTAATACCAACCATTCAAAACATATGGCCAAGATTAAAGTTTTTCAAAAGTAGGTGAAAATTTAAGATCAACGTCACAAGGTTAAAATTGTTTGTACCCTAGGGAAGGTCTTGTCACACGGAATACACATTTGAAATAATAAAGCCCTAATACCAACCATTAAAAACATATGGCCAAGGTTAGAGTTTTTCAAAAGTAGATGAAAATCCGAGGAAAAGGTCAAAATTGTTTGTACAAAAGGGCCCTAGTCATAAGGAATACATGTTAAGTATGAAAGCTCTAGCACCAACCATTTATACGTATATGCAAGGTTTAAGTTTTTCAAAAGGAAACTCCAAGGTCAAGGGCAAAATTGTTGGTATCCAAGGGAAGGTTTTCTTGGTAACAAAAAAAAAAATCTTGTCACTAGGAATACACATTTGAAATAAGAAAGCTCTAATACCAACCATTCAAAACATATGGCCAAGGTTTAAGATTTTTAAAAGTAGGTCAAACTCAAAGGTCAAGGTTAAAAAGTCAAAATTGTTGGTGTCCAAAGGAATATCTTGTCAAAAGAAATACTCCTTTGAAATATGAAAGTCTAAGCTAAAACCATTCAAAACGTATGGCCAATGTTAAAAGGTTTCAAAAAGTAGGTCAAACTCCAAATCTAGGTCAAAAATATTTATACCAAAGGAAAGGTCTTTCCACAAGGAATGTACATGTGAAGTATGAACGCCTTAACACCAAACGTTCGGAAGTTATGGCAAAGGTTAAAGTTTGGAAAAATTTAGCAAAGTTGGGTGAAACTCAAAGGTCAACGTCAAGAGGTCAAACATATTGGTACCCAAAGAAAGGCCTGTCACAAGGAATACAAAAGTCAAGTGTGAAAGCCCTAGCTTCAACTGATCAAAAGTTATGGGCAAGATTAAAGTTTCTGCGGTGAAACAGACAGAGACACAGACGGACAGAGCAAAACATATATGCTCCCGAATCTTACTAAGAGACGGGGACACTCTTAGACCTAACTCCGCACCCCATTTTCAGAAACCTAACCTGTATTAACAAAATCGTACTCAAAGGTCACGAAAGTGTCATGATATTAATAACAATCTCGTATACACACATAGAAAAAAGTCATGATATTTACAAAACTCACAAAAAAGTTTTGATATCAACAAGCTCGTACTACTCAGAGGTCACAAAAGGTTATGATATCAACAAGCTCGTGCATTGAAATTACAAAAAAGTAAATATATAAAAAAAAATATCATACACAGAGGTCACAAAAATAATATCATCAAGATCTTACATAGATTTATAAAAATAAGAGACCTATGTGCCACAACGCTCACCTGAGCAACTATGGAATTTCTTGTTCTTCACCAGCAGATTCTTTTTTCTTATAATAATATACATTTGTATTCCTATGTAAAACGTTGATTGCCCTTTGTGACTCCATCCTACCCCCGGGGGTCATGATTTGAACAAAATTGAGTCTACCCAACCTGAGGATGCTTCCACATAAATATGATTGATCATGGCTTTGCTGTTCTTGAGAAGATTTTTTAAACAGATTTATCCTATTTATTCCTTTATAAAACAGTATACTGATTGCCCGTTGTAGGCTCACTCTACCCCCAGGGGTCATGATTTCAACAAACTTGAATCTACACTTCACAACGAGCTTCCATATAAATAGGATTAATCATGGCTTTGATGTTCTAGAGAAAATGATTTTTCATATAAATACCCATGTAAAACTTTGATCCCCCATAGTAGCCCCACCCTATCCTAGGGGGTCATGATTTGAACAAACTTGAATCTACTCTACCTGAAGATGCTTCCATATAAATATGATTAAACCCTCACTTTCTAAAGAAAGTTTGGGTATATTGTTGTTATCCTGGTCCGTCCATCCGTCCGTCTGTCACACTTTCTTCTTCCTCAAACTACTCATACATTTTAAGCAGTTACTAACTCATCTTTAGGAATATAATTGGCGGTGTCCTTAACGTGTGCAGAAAGACTGAAATTTTCAGTTTTAGGTCACCTGCGACGAGTGTTAACATTTTAATATTTTCAGCTTCTTCTCTGAAACTGCCGAACCAATGTCAGCCAATTTTAGCATATGGCATCTATGTAATAAGCATTAAATCTTCCACCAAAATTGTGAAATTCATGGCCCAGGGTAAGGGGTTCGGGTGCTAGGGCGGGGCTCTATTCATCATCTAGTGAAAATGCATTTTAATTATTTAAAATTCTTCTTCTCTCCCCTTGTACATAAAACAGATAAATTAGTTGCATGGTTATGATGATCAATGGTGCTTCCAACAAAATTGTGAAATTTGTGGCCCCAGGGTGAGGGGTTCTGCGGGAGGGGAGGGGAGCTCTATTGACTATTTAGTGAAATTGCATTAATGCTTTGAAAATGTTCTTCTTTCCTCCTCGGTATTTAGCAGATACACCAAGTATAAAGTTATGATGAGCAATGGCGCCTCTTTCAAAATTGTAAATGACTTGGCCTGGGTCAGGGGTTCTGATGTTAGGGCGGGGTTTTATTGATCATATAGTGAAAATGCATAAATTCTCTAAAAATTCTTCTCCCCCCCCCCCCCGTATATAAAGCAGATAACTAGGTGCATGGTTATGATGATCAAGAGTGCCTCTTCCAAAATTGTGAAATTTGTGTCCCTAGGATGAGGGGTTCCGGGAGGGGGGCTCTATTGATTATATAGTGAAAGTGCATTTCTTTGAAAATCATTGTCTCTGCTCTTTGGTATTTAGCAGATAAACCAAGGATATCGTTATGATGAGCAAGGGCGCCTCTTCCAAAATTGTGAATATCTTGGCCCTTGGGTCAGGGGTTCTGGTGTTAAGGCGGAGCTCATTGATAATATCGTGAAATTGCATTAATTCTTTGAAAATCTTCTCTGCCCCTAGGTATTTAGCAGATAAACCAAGTTTACAGTTATGTTGAGCAAGGGCAGCTCTTCCAAAATTGTGAATATCTTTGCCCCTTGGTTTAGGGATTCTGGTATTAGGGCAGGGCTCTATTGATTATAAAGTGAAATTGAGTTGGGTTTTTTTTTGTTGTTGAAAATCTTGGTATTTAGCAGATAAAGTGCATGGTTATGATGATCAAGGATGCCTCTTTCAAAATTGAAATACTCATGTCGGGAGAGGGGGGCTATTTAACATATTTGAAAAGTTTACAATGGGGAAGGGGGACTTGAATTTTAAACTATCTGAGGTATGCTTCCATATCAATATAACAAATGGCTTTGCTGTTCTTGTGCAGAAGATTTCTAAAGATTTTTTCCCTATATTCCTTTGTAAAAATTCGTTCCCCCATTGTGGCCTCTCCCAACCCCCCAACCCCGGGGGGTAATCATTTGAATAAACTTGAATCTACACTTCCTGAGGATGCTTCCATATAAATATGACCAATCATGACTTTTCTGTTCTTGAGAAGAGTATTTTTGCCTATATATTCCTATGCAGAACTTTGATCCCCCATTATGGCCCCAACCTAACCCTAACCCGGGAGGATCATTTGAACAAACTTAAATCTTCACTACCTGAGGATGCTTTTTTTTTTACTATATATAAGTTTTTTCCCTAGACATTCCTATGTAAAACTTTTATCCCCCATTGTGGTCGCACCCTACCCCCGGGGGTCATGATTTGAACAAACTTGAATCTACATACCTGGGAATGCTTCAATATCAATATTACTTAACATGGCTTTGTTGTTCTTGGGAAAAGGATTTTTAAAGATTTTTTCTATATATTCCTATGTAAAACTTTCATCCCCCATTGTGGCCCCACCCTACCCCAGGGGTCATCATTTGAACAAACTTTAATCTACACTACCTGAGAATGCTTCCATATCAATATGACTAAAGTAGGCTTTGCTGTTCTTGAGAGGAAGAAATTTTTCTCCTTTTATACTTTGTTCCCCCATTGTGGCCCCACCCTACCTCTGGCGGCCATGATGTGAACAAACTTGAATCTACATTACCTGAGGATGCTTCCATATCAATATGACTAATCACGGCTTTGCTGTTCTTGAGAAGATTTTACAAGTTTTTTTTCCTTATATATTCCTATGTAAAACTTTGATCCTCCATTGTGGCACCACCCTACCCCCAGGGATCATCATGAAACTTGAATCTACACTA